GGTTGTTGTCAACGTGTATGGCCTGCTTTGTTTTTGTTTTTTAAATTGATGAAGAAGAATTGTGATGGACTGTGCATGCAAACTGTCATGTCACTCACTAGTAAAAACATGTTTTTTGTCTGTGTGGGTTCTTCTTCTTAGTTATGTTGTTTTAAAGGAATTGTTTTAGTGTGTATGATTACTTACCTGTATTTGTTACTCTACCTTTTAGTTATGACACTTATCATGGGTTGTACACAACTTTTTCTGAAATACAAGTAAAGACGTTTACGTGATTTGTGAGATCATTTTGCTGATTTCCAATGTGCATGATGATGCTGTAAAAACAATTGTATTTCCCTCGGGGATGCATAGGTATAACGTTTACATTACATTAAAATACTAAGTCAAACACCTCAAATGTGTAATTAATAACTTGAGTAAATGTACTTAGTGTTTCATTTTAACACTGACAACATGGCAAAGACAAAGAGTAACAAGAGTAACAATCTCAACTGTTGTAAAAAAGCAGATCACCATGAATTAGGAATAAGAGCCTGGCAGCTCTTATAGAAAACCAAAGAATAATAGAATGAAGGATAATTAAGTCACACGTCTGTGGAGAAAATGGGACTGTGACTAACCATTATATAGGCTTTGCAACAATAGCCGTGTTGAATTTCCCTTAAAGCATTACAGGAAAAGTACGTGAAATGGATGTGTGCACTAATGTTTATATTTCTAAAGTCATTAAACAATACATTACACGTTGTAAAGCCATTATAAAGTACTGTATAATCCTCTCCTTGAGCCGCAATTTACAGTAGCAACTCCACAAAAACATCACCAACAATCCAATCCAACTTTATTTATATAGCAACCCGGGGGGAAAACTGTAGGAACAATTCACTCTAATAATGAAACCAATGCATTTTACCACTTTGCATTGCAAGATAACAGCATTAAAGCATCAAAATAAATGTGCCCAAAGACAACATTGAAGAAAAGATGAGCAATTGTAAGCAATAAATTCACAACTTGCATGAATGCAAAGATTGCACATGCAAACAATAGAAAAACAAGCTAGCAAGCAGTCAATAGCAACAGCGGAAATACTGCTAATACAGTACATGCTTCAGGTTGGTAGAACATGCAGCTAACTCTTACCTTAGATTGGTGAGATGAAGCAGCGATGAAGACATCTTCACATTAAGACCAAATCCTTGGGAAAGTTGTCCTTTAGTAAGAGTTGTGGTACCCTATGATATAAAGATGGCTAATATGTTAGCCATGAAGTGCAAGTATTGCTAAGAGACATAGCTAAAATAACTAGCTAATGGAGTCGACTGTACAAAAACATATTCTTCTTCAATTTCAGATTCGTATTCATCCAATAATAGAATATAAATATTACTGAAATGGGCTGCACAATTAGAAGGCCTACTGGGTGCAAAAAAAATTCAAGTCACATTACAAATTGTGTTTCTACATTATAGCTTCTACATAATAGTGCATTGTAAAAAATGTAGATGAGGGGAGTTTTGTGTTTTCAGCAATGTGTTTTATGGCAACGCATTAGCCTGTAACCAAATTCACCCTTGAGAATAATAAAGATTAAATTGCAAATCACAGGGACACTCGTATAAATGTTTAATTTGTGGCTGGGAGCTTTGCTTGAAACACTGCCATATTGGCTCAGCTGTAACATTTATGAAAAGGAAGCACATTGTCAAGAAGTTGATCTTCTGAATGGATCAGTTTGGGGTATTTAAGATGCCCTTGTCCCTGACAGCCTTACACAAATGGGAAGAAATCAGGCCTAACCATAAGTGTGTGTTTCTGTGTGTGTGTTTCTGTGTGTACACGTGTATGTGAGGGATGTGAACCCCTGCTGTTGGGTAACCCCACTGTGTGAGATCTGACAGCTCCTACTGCTGTCTGTATGACAGGATAAAAGAGCATCAATGTGTGTGTGAATCAGATAGGAAAAGGAGGAGGAAGTGGCCAGAAAGACAAAGAGAAAGCAGAAGCTTATTCACACACAAGAAATAAATACATTTACTCAAGTGAATGTCTCTTTGAAAGCGTATCTGTGTGAGCTCGGACAAACTAGATGTCCCACAGCCTTTTGAAACCCACAAAAAGCAACAGCAGGACTGATGGTATCTGCTGGGTTGACCACTATAAAGTAGAAAATCTGAGATTTAACCATCAAAGTCTAAAATGTAATTGAGCCCTCAGCAAATTCTTCAGACAATGACTGGCACCATGGGAGCCTTCTTACTTCTTTCTCAAAGCAAAAAAACATGACAACTCCCCTGTGATCTTTCAGTTTTTAAGAACAATGAAGTCTTGAATTGTTGATAATTAAAATAAAAGCACAATGAGTGTTAATCTTGCACTTAAAGATAGCAGGTGTGCTTTTATTTCCCACTTTAAAGCAAAGAAAATGTGGTAATAAATGCATCCTTGAAAATCTATTAAAGATGCACTTTGCAGTTCTAGGTCCTCTAAAGCAGCCCTAGCATAAACACATACAATTTACCATGACAGTTGTTAGGTGGTTCTTACTCTCAGAAAACATTGCTTTATTTGTAGCGTATCCAAGCCATGCGTCCACTCTTCTTTAAGTATGACTTAGAGCGTACATGAAGTCCATGAAAACAAACATGAAAAACAAATATATTCTACTTCACTTGAAAAAAAAAAGCAAAAACAGAGCCCTTGTTTTTCCATAACCTTCACTTCAAAAAGCCTAAAATGAAAATGATGTATTTACACATTCCAGTGCCAGAAGAGGAGGAGAGTTTAAATATCAGAGTTTCTGGATACACACCAAGGGAGTGGACAATTGTTCATTCTTAATGTGGCATGCCGTGTCATATTTCCTTAAGTTAAAAGCTGTTTACTTTGAAGCGAGGCTCAACTTGCACACAGAAAAACACTTTAGTGATGCATGACTCTTCTCCTCTCCAGCCTGTGGATGACTCATGCTTCTGAGTGACTATCAGGAAATACAGCTGAGGGCAATGTTTGTTTCTTGAAAAGTATCAAAGGGAAAAATATGATGGACGTTTTTATCACTGTGTTACGCCCCTGTCTTGTACACAGACATGTTTTGGGCATCTCAAATCTTTGCTGAAAGATTTCGCCAGTTAAATTCCAGTTAAATATATCAGTCAAGTCAGACCACAAACGCACCAAGTAAATCACACTTCCTTGTGGTCGTTAGGCCTGAATGTAAGCGTGTTGCCATGTTTGTGAAAAAAGGTAAATTAATGCCAAGTTAACTGTAATTGTTCTCTTAATGCTAATGTGTTCATTACCAGGTCACTTTGTAATGTTGATTCTTGTAAATGGAAGATGGGTTAAGTTGTTGAGGTGCATGTGAGGTGTGTTGAATTATTACAGAGAGACAAGTTATATCAATGAGTTTTAGAAATACCTCACAATATGCAATGGAAAGCATACATACAACATTAAAACCTCTTTAACCAGCTTTACTTCAAGGCTTTTTTATAATTCAACCCTTGGATTAGGTATATCCTTTAAAACCCATCATTTAAGCTGTTGAGTTTACCTTTAACAACCAACTAACTGGTTTTCTGGTTACTGAATGACAAAAGAATGGGAAATACACAGGAATGAATGAAAGCAACTTTTACTTTGGAAAAAATGTGACATGCGATGTGAACACAACAGAAGATGGGCTGATTCAAATGATGGAAAAGGAGGATTAAACCAAAAAAACAATTAACCCAAAAACCATTCACAATTACTCTTTTGTCAGGGATGGTCAGGACAATAATCACATGCTTCATCTCCATCAACTTTCTAAGAGAAAGAGAAAATGTAGAACATGTTGAGTGAGCAATACATTCTTCGAAATACTCCCCAAAGACTATGACTGCACAACAGTCATAGTATCTGCTAAAGAGTATGCACTGCCTCAAACTCACACAGGGACATCAATGATTAGGAGTAAAAACAATGCTTAAAAGTAAAACTCAATAAAAGCCAGTATTTCCCAAATGCATGTCCTACTAAATGTGTGTGTGTGTGTGTGTATGACTGAACATATAACAGTAGACTCATAGGCGAACACATTTGTATCACAGAAAACACACTCAAGTAAAAGAGGGATGCATAGGCATGTAACAAGTCAAACCAGAATACATTTGTAATAAAATGTTCAGTAGTAGGTCATAATTATTCTGCAACATGAATCCCCTGATTGACATGTGCCTCCAAAACTCAGTCCTTGTACTCAGTGTACTTTTTGGCCGACCCATGTACTTTGTTTGCGGGGTATTTCAGTCGATTAAGGGCCATTTTCCGAAGCACTGCTTGGGGTAGATCGACTCTACACTTCTCGGCGAGCTCCACCAGGTAGATCAACACGTCGCTGAGCTCCTGGGCCAGATGCTCTCGCTCGGCCTCGGTCCAGGCCGGCAGGCCCTCGGCCACCTCTCCCCGCCACTGGAAGAGCTCCGACACCTCTCCCACCTCCCCGACCATCGCCAGAAGCAGGTTGCGGGGCTGGTGGAACTGATTCCAGTCCCTCTCGTCCGTAAACTGCGCCTGCATCCGCCTAATGTCCTCGATGGTGGGCTCGGGGCTGAAGGCGAACCTCTCTGCCCCGGTTCCTCCTCCGTTCTGCGGCTTTGAGAGAGCCGATGCCTCCGTTGTTGCTCCGTTGACAAGTGACTTGTCGTTGTTGCTGGTCAAAGACAATGATGGTTCCTCACCGTTTAATCCACATGCGTCTTTTCGGCTTGAAGCCATCATGTTTTTTTTTTTTATACCAGCGCTGGCTATAAAAACAAGTTGTTAAAGACTGTAAACAACGTGTTCAACAACTACCATGTGAAGCATTCCCGCCAGATGTCAAACCGGATATGATGCGATTTATGTCGGAAACCGGAATCTCACCAATGATCAGTGTGACTGGGCTTTGTAGTTTTACCATGGCAACCAGCGTCGTCGAAACTCATTTCAAATGTCACCTTAAAAAACTACAAGTCCCGTGTTGACTGTAACATAACAACATGGCAGCCTCCTCTGTGGCAGCAAGTGAGCTGCTACAAAATATGAATAAACATATATCAATATTGTACCCAAAGGCTTCGTATGTTATTAGAAGGATAAGCACATCCAGACAACGAAGCGACAGCCAGCCGCAGCTAAGAGTAAAAAGGTAAGCGAGGCTGCTATGGCGGAATACTGTGTTATAATGCCCCTGACCTGCTACACGTATGTAAGCAGTGGTACACGATAAAAGATTGTATGGCATGGAGCCTATATCTGTCAATGTGAGGACAAAATAAAGATCCTGCAAGTCATTATAATGTGAAAAACATATTCCAAGCATGACTCAAGGACATTGCATCACAAATAATGGCTTTGTATTGCAAGTTTTATAGAATTGCAATTATATTATTTTAGTATTTGAAATGGGGTTATTAAGTTTCCATTCGGCCTTGCATTTTGGGATAAGATTGTGCATGAAAAGCTGTTTTACTATTCATAATGACTTCTTTCAATATAGGTTATTTTAGTCACATGTTAATACACTGCGTACTTCCATTCACCTGCTTGAAATAGTTTGTACAAGGGAGTCACGACATATATTCAGTTTGATCCATGTATTGTGGACACTATATAATACAGCAGTTCTACAGCTTTTCTGGCTGATTTGACCTCCTCAGTTCACCTGTCTTTATTTAGTTCATGTCTGTCTCACACCTGCCTCCTCTGTCTCTCAGTGCGCCCCAGCAGCTGGTTGGCGTGGTGGGCTTGGAAGTCCACGCCCAGATTAACTCCAACACCAAACTTTTCTCCGGCTCATCAGTACGCTTCTCAGCTCCTCCAAACTCCCTGGTGTCACCCTTTGATGCATCCTTACCAGGCACATTACCTGTAAGTGTTAGTAAACTTATTTCAAACAAAGATATCCTGTTTCGTGATCCCTGTCTTGTCAGGTCACCACGTAATTTCCCTGTGTTTCTCCAGGTCCTTAACACACGATGTGTCGAAGCTGCTGTGATGACAGCACTGGCTCTCAACTGCACCATAAACAGGACATCTCTTTTTGATAGGAAACACTACTTCTACGCTGACCTCCCTGTGAGTTTTTCACTCCTTTAACTACTTCCTGTGCAGTATCTAGGTTTCAATATGCCGAAACACAGACGTTAGTCGGGGATATTTTATCAGCCAAACGGCAGTGTAAAGACACTAGTCCTGCTCATCATGCTGCATCATTGCTTTTGCTTTTTATGGATAAGCTGTCCTCATCTGCCTCCAACTTCTCCATTACAGTTTCCCACTGAACTCTCCTGGCCATGAGCTTTTATTAAGTAAAAGTATATTAAGTAGTGAGCAAGTCTTGCTGAAGCAGCAGAAATTGTATTTGCCTCACATACAGACGAATGACACTGAAAGCTATTAAAGAAAATGAGCAGTGTTTCTTTCTCTAGCCAGCTCATTTCCTTCAGTGCACTTGATTGTTGTATTACCCTCAGGTCATCTCCCTCTCAATGCATTTGCTGCAAATTTGGGCATAGCTCTCTTTTATTCACATCATCTGAATGATAATTATAGTCATATAACCCCAGGTAGTGTTGTGTAGCTAAACAATTCAGGGAGTTTGATTGTGTTTGTCTGAGCTAATAATGCAATATGAAGTTTAAATAGTTCATTTAAAAGAAAATACATGTACGGTTATTATAAACCCTATATTGTATTTACCCTTAAAGAACTACCAGTCATTTTCTTAAAGTATGCCCTGGTGATTTCTAATCGAATTTCCTCAAACAGTTTCTGCTGACTACACTCATTTATCGGATTTATAGTATTTTCTATGTGGTAAAGAAAGTCTAATCCTTTTATCCTTTTAACTTTTTCGTCCGTTTTTGTGTCCACCAACTCTTGGGGAAAAGTAATGTACCTTAGTTAGTCCTTGCTCACTATGTTCACGAGCTCATTGTTAACTGTATTTGTCTGGTGCTAGGTAGTAAGCATGCAGTCCATTATAATGAAACAAAGAGGTGAAATATGTTTAAGTGCTTTGTTAGCTGAGAGAAATATAAATATTTATGTTCACTTTTAATTCCTTTTATGCAGTTTTTTTGTATGTACTGCTGTAAAAGAATCAAAGAGCTAGAACAGAGAGGTTAGCCAACATGGTGTTTGAAGAATTACACCTGAGTCCAGTGATTGTGAAATGGGAATGTGGTTAGCATGCATATATTCAACATTTTATATGAACCAACCAGTATTTTAAGGTAGTGGTGGAGTTACTACAACAACAAAAACAACCGTCTTTAACATCTATATTTCTATTTAACAGTGCCTATTCCTATGAGATTCACTTTGCTCCCTGTAATGGAGTCCTCGCACGGAAAGGTTTCACTAGCCCTCAGAGCCCCGGGGTAATTTAACTTCCATTATGAGTGACATTTTAAGGCTTTTAGAGGGAAAGACAAAATGTCATAGGAACTCCGCAGTGACTAGCCCTGGAGAGACCTTTTTCTAATCAATCTGAGAAACTATCAGAAGAAAGGTGTTGGAGAATTGAGCAATTTGAGTGTTAAAAGTCATTATTTCCCTGATAAGATATTATGCTAACACCGCTTTGGGCAAGGTAATGGGAAGGGTAATTATAGGCTGAATAACTTAAGAGACAGATTTCATTTGGTAGTATTTTATAGAAACTGCCCAGAGAAGGAGCTTAACATTAGCGTATCTCCATGAAATAGCAGGACATACACTAAGTATGAGCTTTAGCTGGTATTTTATTGCACTATTCTTACTATTGTATAACACAGAAATACATTATCTCGATATTTCTGATTAGTCTTGCTCTAATTCCCCAGCTTACGTCACTGTATTGTGAAAATGTGACTGATAAGGCTCGATGGAGCACAACAGCTTTCTGTAGATCTTGATAGATGGAGTTATTTCCCATTAATTTTTTCCCAGACTCACTGGTTATCACACAGTTGCAGCAGAACATATTTTAATCACAATGGTAGGGTTACATTATCTCCCCAGAAAGTCCATGTATCTTGAAAGTTTAACAAAATCCCCTCCAAGAAGCGCAGGGATTACTGTTGGGTTCCACTCGCTCTTTTGTGTGTTTGCTGAGGATTGCATCACCTCCTTTGGAGAAACTCTTAGCAGTTGACACACACAGCAGGGAGGATAATACCCGATTACAATTTTGTATTTTTTTGTGAGTTTTCCCCAAAAACTCATGCTGCGCGCTTTAGCCTGAACCTTTGTTTGTGTTTTAGAGTCACTGTTTACATCTGCTGTTGCCTTGCTAATATTTATTTTTCCTCTAGTCCCATCAGCTGCTCAAAAGAGTGATGATGTATGAACAGCATGATAGATGAAGTCAGATTGATTTTTAATTAGTCATATGATCGTTTTCTGTTCACCTTCAACCTAAAGTTTGAGTGTAATCAATGCTCTTAAAACCAAACCATCAGCAGAATGGAAATGAGAAATGTTACCGCCCTTGAAGTATACATTTGTAAATTGCGTTGTACATTATTGATGTATTCCACTGGAAATCCATGATTGCATTTAGTAAAACACCACAGTTGCTCATTAAATGATTAATGCTGCTGCCGAACAAGTATTCCTTCTTTAATTGCGATGGCAAGCAGGGCACATGCACTACTGTATGTCAAGTTTTGAATAGTTCCTAAATAACATGCATCAGCAGATCCACGCTCACCCATCAGTAAAAGCAAATAATTACAATTTCCTTGAGATATTAAGTTTCCAGATAAACACACATGGCCTGGTTATTGAATCTTTGACATGTGTTAAACAAGCCTTTGAGCTTCTGTAGGACACTCTTGGGTAGCAAATAAAACAGTTCTTTCAATCAGTGTGCAGCGCAAGGAACGAGACAGCAACTGACTTGTGTCTGTTTAGTGGATTTGACAATAATCAGAGAAAGACTCAGCAGCTCAAAACATGGAAACTAGTTTGGAGTAGTCGGACAATATGAACATTTCATGTCCTGATTATCATGGTCAAAATATTTGCAATTTCAACCCGCTTATCCTTAAAATATGCTTACAAATGGCAAAACATACTGGACATATAACTTTCATTTACTTAAGAAACGAATATTTTAATTGCATCACAGATAGCACACATCTTTTTTTAAAGCAATCTTACGTCATATTTTTTAAATAGTAAGGTCTCCAGGCATAACTAAAGGATAAATTATACCATCAACATTTTGTAAGTCTGTCTTTTTCACCTGATAATTCCTATCAGGCTCTATTCTTCAATTCTCTACAATGTTAGCTAGAAAGCTTTTCCAAGTCACTGATGTCAGAATGATCCTGATGATGGAAATGAAACATGATCAACTTGTTGTTTTTTATCACGATTCCTAGTAGGGATGCTCCGATCGATCGGTCACCGATCGATATCGGCCGATACTCACTCTCTACCGATCGATCGGTGCTCTCTAAACATGCCGATCGCGAGAGCCGATCGCATGACGTAAAATACATGACACTTTTCTCTGTGTGCGGCAAAACAAGCTCGCCAAAATGGCTTCACCGGTCTGGCATTATTTTAAGGTGTCCGAAAAAGACAGTAAAATAGCGGTATGCAACGTGTGTGAAGCAGAAATCCTGCAGCTCCGCCCGCCGGACAGGTAAGCACAGCGAAACACACACACAGGGAGAACCAGACCGCAGTTCATTTCCTCATATTCCAAACGAGAAATTACGGTAGCAAATCACCCGGTTCTTTACGACCAGAACAATTAACGGGATACAAACCGGAGGAACCAGGCATGGAGGGAGGTGGCAGAGACAGTGGGTGAAACTGGTAAGTTTTCGCCTGTTTGGGGAGTTTATATATATATTGCTCGCAAGAAAATCCCCGGGGTTTTTTGCTTTGTATGTCGGGGGCGGGAGATTCATGTGATTGGTTGTTGGTCGCAAAAAATCCCCAAGCTTTCAGACACGCCCAGCTCCAAGATTTTCAAGATTTTTGAAAAGCTGCTGTGTGTGTAAGAGTTAGACCTAACACACTTAGCTATTTTATCTACCTCTGGAACAAGCTAAACTAGTTATTATAAATATATGTATTCTTCATTGTCGGGTCACTCATTACTGGATCAGTGAGCTGCATGAGATACTGACAGGCTGTCAGGAGAGGGAGAGAGGGGGGAGAGAGAGGAAAAGAGAGCGCTTCCGCTAATTTCTCCCGTGTTATTATCCAAAGTGAATGTAAACTTGAATAATGTACATCATTTGAATGTAATAATTAAGTTGATTGTTGTTTGTGGAAGCTCCAGTGAATGAGCCCCATTAACTGAGTTTTAAACATCACTTTAAATGGAAGATTTAAAGTGATGTTTAAATCTTCCATTTAGGCCCCGCCCACTCGATCGGATCGGCGATCGGTATCGGCCGATACTGATTCCGGCGATCGGCCCCGAAATTGGCGATCGGAGCATCCCTAATTCCTAGTGTGCAATGTGTGTCGTCAGCGCTGTATGTGAGCGGGCATGCATCTGTATCTTTAGATATAGGGAGGGTGAGGATTCACAGGGAGTGTTTAGAGCATCCCTGCTCATTATGGCCTTGAGCCTAATCGGAAATATTAATGTGGATACCAGTAGCTTAATTAGCAAGGGACTTTCCTCACCCTTCATTAATATATGTAGCAAAAGCATTTGATTTATTATGCAGGAAATGCTAGTAGACTTCAATTGAACAGATGCTCCCCAATGTATAGTTCTGCATGCTCGTAACTCCCCCTGGCAAAGGAAACATTTCCAACTCTGAGACAAAACTCATGATGAGATTACGTTTGGAACAGGAGATTTCTGATAAACTGCAACAGTTTTCTCAAAAACCCTGCAGATTTAAAGATTGAATCCACCAAAAAGAACTTGAATTACAAAAGAAAATCCCCCAAAAAGTGTTATTTTCTCTCTCATCTGTTTTAAAAGGAAGGAAGTGATTGGTTTTGAAGATCCTCGTACAGAGAGCCAGGGACTAACAGAACCCCAATCTCCTCTCCCACGTCCACACTCTCCTTAGCATAAGTATGATTTATGTGTGGTTCCTGTGATGTGGTAGCCATGGTAACTTGGGGAATAAATACTCGGGGCAGCAGATTATTTTAGGAACAGCGGATGAAATATTTATTATTAGGTTTTTCTTAGTAGGAACCTTGAGTGAATATCACAATGCACACTCAATCAAATCAAATCAAGATTTATTTATAAAGCACATTTATAAAGCACATTTAAAAGCGATTTTTGGTCGAGCCAAAGTGCTGTACATGTAATAAAAACACATTACTACAATCACAAGGATTTTTCAATCAGTCGGTGAGCCGCTGTGTGTGAAAAACGCTCTCTGCCTCACCTTTACATTAGAGCCTGACTGCAGCACAAAACAGATGTGTTATGTCAGTGGAATAGTGGAAAACTGTCACTACCAGAAAATGGTATCTCACATCCATAGTTTAATGTTTTTGCTGCTGAAAACTGTATTTTGGTTACATAAAACAAGGGATTGGGATATATTCTGTATTCACTCAAAGTAGTTGTCCTTTGAGTGAATGAATGGCAGGCAATTAAACATACTTTACTGAATTACTGAATGACATTATGTTTCTTTTACTGACCAAATCGTACATTAGTACTGTGTAATCCTCAGTTCAAACCGGAGAGACGTGATGTAAGAATTACATATTTATTGTTTACACGTCATATGAATGAAATGATTGCCATGATAATACAACAGGAGAATGTAATGGTGTTTGGCGATTAGGCCCCGGTTTGCAGGATAATCATTCAGGAGGGAAAGAACCGCTCCGATGAAATCCCCGGGGTCTAGACACTGGTGGTGGTGATGAGTAGGTGGGACCGGTCTGAAGAAGGAAGGTTTAGCTTTGTCCTGAAGGAGACAGGAGGCGAGAGGGGTGGAGACGGGTTGCGTGTGATCATCTGCAATGACAACTGACAGGGAGGAAGAGCAGGCATTTAAGGAATTTAGCATGTGCAGCGATTGGCTGCTGAGGGGTGACGCCCTCGTATTTAATGAGGGGGGAAGGGAGCCATAGAGTGACGTGTAAGTGACTCGTGTTAGGTCTTCCTTATTGAACTTGCGCTAAAGCTTTCATTTCATGTCTCTACATGGAAAATATCTACAACAAGCATTGCATGTTACAAAAGTTCAACAAACCAGTTACTTAACAGCCAAGTATTATCCCCATACTACAATCAATAATTCACATAAGTGTAACTGACATAGGACATACATGTAGAAGTGCAACATAAAAATAAAATATATTGTTATTGTAGCTCTATTTGTAAATGAACAAGATGGATATCAGTTTGCAAAAATAAAAATGAATGGATGGCATTGTGAAGTTATTCCTGACTAGTGTATACATTAGAATTGTAATCGTTGTACTTCTACTACTTTAAGTTATACTGCCCATTACTACACAACCTAGCTGCCCATATTTCTTACACATCTGTATTCTATCCAGCCTGATATGTTTTCCTATTTCAGGCTGGATACCAGATCACACAGCAGCGGCGGCCCATCGCAGTAGATGGCTTCCTGGATTACAGCTTCCTTGGAGGGAAAAAGAGGAACCAGGTGATCAAAAGAACTGTCAGCATCAAACAGATCCAGCTGGAGCAGGACAGCGGCAAGAGTCTCCACGACAACCTCCGCAGCCAGACTCTCATAGACCTCAACAGAGCAGGTAACGTCAGGGAAGTAGTGCTTTATTGAAAGGATTTTCTGATTGTCAAATAAAAATAAAATCACATGAAAAGCAACAATGAACTAATCCCACCATACTGCGGGTCGATATTGTCTGTGTAGCCTGATACAGCCTATTCTTCTGTGCCATAGACACTCATTGTAGTCAAATAAACTACAGGACGAGCCCCAGAAACAGTGTTCAATAAAGTATTTAACTACATATTAAATCTTCAGTAGGAACAAATGAGCTTGGGGCTGTGTGCAACAGACAACAGGAAAGTCAGACATACTAACGCTGTAGTTTTTGTCATTCATGAGATGTTTTTGCCAGTAAAATAAATACTTCAGAACTTCTTCTCCTTTAAAACTGTGAGAAAAATGTTCAGACAGATATTGTTCTGTATATTTAAGACGCTCCACAAACTGTTGAGGTTTGCTACAGAGTTGAATGGAATAGAAGGTAGCTCAGAGATGTAACACACAGCTGTGCTCACATGTGACAGGTGTGGGACTAATGGAGCTGGTGATGGAGCCCGACATGAGCTGTGGAGAGGAAGCTGCTGCCGCTGTGGGAGAGCTGCAGCGCATCCTGCAGACCCTGGGCACCTGTCAAGGCAACATGTCTGGTATGGAAATCATTCTCCGACACTTCTCCCTCCTTTTATTCTCAGCTGCTAAACTCCAAACTCAAAGTTATTACCTACTCATTTTGCATGTTGTGCGTCCTTCTCTGCAGAGGGCCAGCTGAGAGTAGATGCCAATGTGTCTGTGCACGAGCCAGGTGAGCCGCTGGGCATCAGGACGGAGGTGAAGAACATCAACAGCATCCGATACCTCGCCAAGGCTATAGGTAAGGGTCATGAAAAGTGAACATCTTAAAACAAAGCAGAGCAGGATGGCTTAAGAGTGCTACAGGAAAGCTCTTTTAAACCGCCCTAGTCTTTAGGATGATAAATAAAGTTGCGATGTATTTCAAAGCTCAAAGCCTTTAAACAACACGTTGGTATCTTTGTTGTTCTGAATTCACGAGGCATTCATGTTTCTGATTATTCCGACACCTCATGAATGCAGCACAGAGCACTATTTCTGTGCTAAGGAAACATAGATTTTGAATCCTCCCTGTAACTCAAATCCGCTCCAAAATAAAATGGGTTCTTCTTTGCACCATGCTTCACCCTCCCACCAAGATTTATGAACATTAGACTAGAATATTAAAGTTTTCCAAATTCCTGCTGAAAGATATATTTCTTTTTAAAGGGCCCATGTCATGCTTTTCCGGTTATTACCCATCCCCTTGTGTGTTATGAAGGTTTTTATGCATGTAAACGGTCTGCAGAGTCACAAACCCTCAAAGTACACCCTGTAGCGAGTAAAACTCTAACACAGAAAAGACCTGTCTATGCTGCCCCACAACGCCTCGTTGGAGATTTCTCATTTTCCATTGTTTGCTTCTTGGGTTCTGTGACGTGTGAACACCCAAATCAACAACAAATGACCAATCCGCGGAGCACCTCACACACCAGGATCCCTTGGATAACTAACAGGGCATTGACTTGCATAGAGCTCCCTGAACGCTGGTAATAGACGAGTTGGGATCGCGGATAAATGCTCTCCGCAGACCCATTCTCATAGCGTTATAATAAACCTTTTTCTTACTCAATATCAAACCACAGCCACACTTATTGTTTTTACTTCGGCTGTGAGTGTTTGTGTGTGCTCAGGATGAGTTTCGCTGTGTTTCGCTGTAGCAACGAGCCTCGCAGCAGCCCGACCAATCAGAGCACACTGGGCTCACAGGGAGGGGGGGGCAGGAGCTCCAACAAGCCGTTTAGGACAGAGAGTGAATACACATACTATACAGAGATGCTGTATGAGAAACCAATGTGATTTTGGAAAATGTAGACCTCAACAATGGAAATATGATCAGTAGAAATGACATGGGACCTTTAAATAAAAAATGACAAAAAACCTCCTTGGCAGAGCGAATTAGCCCTACTTTCATTCATAACAGTGAAATGATGCGTACACATTAATGCAGTGGTTCTCAAAGTGGGGGGGCGCCGAGGCATGACAGGGCGAGAGACCAGGAGGAAAAATGGTTATTTAAAAAAATAATAAAAAATCATATTTTGAAAAAGTATTGATTCGAAAATAATATGATACAGTACAGTACTATTACGTCTGGGTCTCTGTGTTTCATTAAAGCTCGGCTCTGTGTGTGTGGAACAAGCCATTTTGTGTGCGCGAGCGAGCGAGAGAGAGAGAGCGCACCGGTACCGGAGATCGTTGTTGTTAGCTTCTGGTGCTAGCGAGCTACGCTAACGGATATAAGGAGTTTTTTCAACAACAAAGTGGAGGAGTGCTCTACTGTCAGACTGAGAGACTCAGTGAGCTAAAGGACTCTCTCAGTGTTATCTCAGTGGGTCTCAAATGTTTTGGTCACCATTAATGTAAACAATTATTTCAGAGGGACACATTTATATGATCATTATAGTTATAAAAAAATAAGAGAATAAATTAAAAACAGGTATGAAATACATATGACATATATGACATTAAAAAAAGAATAAAGTTTAAAAGGGAGTGATTTGTAAAATATCCATAAAGAAATAGTAAATCTGTTTACAGTTCTGTCTCATATGGGTGTTGAGAGAGGTATCCATAGATCTCTTCATTTTGCTCTCAAAGTGCACCAGATTGATGCTTTTAACTTCAATATTTAAAAATCTTCCCGGGGAGCTTGCCCCCGGACCCCCCTATGTGAGGTCCACACACCACCTATAAAAATAGCACTTTACCCCTGCTTACACCTATATGCCGTGAGCTGATATCGAGCCTTCATTGTAACAGTCGGGGGTACATTGTGTGTGTGGGGAGTGTTGCAGTAGAAAATTCCACTGTAGCGCCCGGTACATTAATGGGAAACCCTAAATGTTTGAGCACCCTCTATGAAACGTCAAGCTACCCCACAGCACCCCAAAATAAATATCTGGTGCCGCCACTGAGCCTGACTATTTGTGTTGTTTTTTTTTCTCCAAAGGCCTGACAGAAAAAGTTTGAGAACCACTGCATTAATGCATCAATAAAAATAATCAAGTACATTTTACCAAAGTTGTATTTTAATGTATAACTTTGACTTATAATGAAATACTGTCACAGTTTAGTACTGCACTTTTAATTATGTACGTGAAGGATCTAAAAACTTGTTTGAACACTTCTGCAAATTTGTATCTGTCAGGTGTAACAAAAACTCATAACAAATAACATATTTATTACTGTCACAGAATTGGTTTTCTGTTGCAATGAAAAGAGGACAGTTGGATTTATGAAGAGACATTCAGACAGGAGGCATAGTTAACATTGACAGTAACTTGTGAAGCGTAAACTTAGGACTGACAACAAGTCACGAACAATTAGCCGTGTGATGGCAGCGTGTGATGCTGAATTGGCTTCTTGAAGCTGCTCATTTAAAAAACCATAGATTTTATGTCAACTCTCACTCCGCTGACTGTTGATTGAGCTTCACTATAAAAAGTTGACAAAGAGCCACAGCCAGAAAATCTCAGCATTTTACGTGCAGGTTTGTGAGCATGGTTTGACATACTGTGGTACTGCGCTTGAATTATTCATCAATTAATCTGTATCGCATTTACTCTCCTTCCGATGTGGTATTTAAAAGTCATGGAGAAAAGCATCGTTTATCACAGTTATAACATGGCAGCAGTCCGACACCGGAGGAGTGCCAGGGCATCACAGCAGATGTTTGGCATTTAGCACACAATTATATTTGTGTGAACAGGATTTATTGAATAAACCCTCTGTATTTGTTGTTTTGGTCCCCTTTCACATCAACAGACTACGAGATCCAGAGACAGATCGCAGTCCTGCAGAGAGGCGGGACGGTGCAAAGCCAGACCCGGGCGTTTGATTCTAAATCAGGGTAAGAGGATGAAAGTGCAGGGCCGCGGTGCCAGACTTGATCCAGAACAACAGCCTCTGACTGGGAGCTCGACCTGCTTCATTAGAGGAGCAACCATCATGGTAATCATGATGAATAGAGCCATTTGGGTGCCGCTGTCATGCCGGGTTATCTGTGAGCTATGTGCTACTGTCAGGCTTATGAGTTTAACAGAATAAGCCAGCTCACACACAGCTGAGGCCTTCATCATCTTCTGCTGCTCTCCCGGCAGGCTTGCACTTTTCGAAAAGCCTAAAGATATTCAGTTCATTATTACAGTAGTAAACAAAGAAAATAACTAAGTCTTCCCATTTTAAGATGATTGAACTAGTGAAGTTTTTGCTTTTCTGCTTGACTTTTTTGGTACAATTCCTCAAGGAACATTCCCCTAAGATCTATAATGAAGTTCGAGAAAGCTTTGAACACATGTTTATGAATCCTAATGATCATTTATGAGCTGTATCTTTTTTTCTCTAGGGAAACTGTTCCTATGAGGGACAAAGAGGGTCTTCAGGACTACAGGTGAGTGGGTTCTTTGCATATCTGGGTCTGTCTTGGGAGCATGCGTTTATTGACATTGATGATATGATATCAGAGTATGAGCTTGGCCTCAGAGGGGACTTAAAAGGATGAACACCTATGAGTGACAGCTAGATGGAGGGGAAATACAAGGTCTGGACCTCAGTCATGTGTGTGTGTGCGCGCGCGTGCAGTAAGGGGGATAACTAGATGGACAGGTTTAAGGCTGATGGAGTCAAGTTATTAGTGGAGGGAGTGAAATGTGACAAGTGTGGACTTTTAGTATCAAAGCAAAAGCCAACCTCCTCTCCTGTAAGCTCATCTGTACTGCTGATAAAGCGTTCTCCCCCCTCTCTTTTTTTTCTGTCTCCCCCCCCCTCCTCTCTTCCTCCATTCAGGTTCATGCCAGAGCCCAACCTGCCCCCTCTGATTGTGTATGAGGATAATGCATCGCTGCCCACTGGCATTGATGCGTGTCAGGTGGTGGTGGTGCAGGCGATAAGAGAAGCGCTGCCAGAGCTGCCCGCTGTCAAAAGAGAAAGACTGGTGCAAACGTACGGCCTCCTGCCCGAGCACAGCCTCACTCTGGTGGTGAGTTCATGAGCGAGAGCTGCAATCCATTAGTGTATCGACGGAAAAAACAATCAAACTTTTTACATTTCGAGCAATTGGGATTTTTCGTTCTCAGCCTCACAAATATGGACATGTCATGCTTTTCTCTGTTTAATAATCATATTTAACTGAGTGCTGTTGGGCTTTAGACTGACAGAACAAGACAATTATAGTAATATTTTACTTTTTTCTGACAATTTATAGTCCAAAACAATAGAGAGATTAATTTTGAAAATAATCGGGAGGTGGATGGATAATGAAAATAGTTGAATAAGTGGATGAAAGCTACCAGTGAGAGAGGAGTGGATTCCATCACAAAATCTGTTTCTTGCATCTTTTTTAAAATTGCCATTTGATCAAGTTCACGCAGAGTCAGCTTGGACGCAGTTCTGTTGGCAGCTGTGTTCTGCCGGGCTCGGCTAATCGGATCCTAATGAGATAATATGCACAAGAAGGCATGAAACATTTTCACGGTGCTCTGTTGCAGAACGAGGACGGGCTGGTGGAGTACTTTGAGGAAGTGTTGAAGGCGACCAAGAAGGAGCCGAGGAAGGTGATTGGCTGGGTGACCAATGAGCTGGTGGGTCACCTCAAACAGCAGGACATGAGTGTGAGCCAGAGGTGAGACACTTACACACACACCCTCATGTCGCTTTTACAATACTCACATAATGCTCATTGTTTGTCGTAGAGGTTTGATTCTCGTCTTTTTGCCAGCTTGGCTCATGAATGCCTGTTCTGCTGCCAACGCTCAGATGTCAGGGCTCCGACCCATGAACCCCTCTGAGCCTCTTTTGTGGCCCCCTCTCTTTGTAGCTTTGTATGCCTCATGTGAAAATGTTGGTGAATTTGAGCTTTAGTTAGAGGAATGGAATATGTACATAAAGCTGCACAATGGGCTGTAATACTCCATCAATCTATATCAAACCGCTATAGATCATCATCTAAGATACTCCGTTGTTTTGAAATTCCCATGGCAATTCTGTGTCACGATTTCTGTCCAAAGGCACCTCCTTCCTAGGTATTTAAGTAGTTTTTTGTGACTGATTATGTTAAATGGGCATATGACATCTTCTCATATTGATCGCAGGCCCCTAAATCAAATCCAATCCAAATTGTCACTTGGCAGACTTTGTGATATCAGCAATATCATTTGGTTCTAAAATAGATTTATATAGAAGCTTAATGAAACTTTTGTACACCCCTTGTACACTCTTTCAACTTGAGTCAAGCTGTCATGAGATACTTTTCTCTAAATGTTCTCAAACTTTTCCAGTGAAGTACTGAATAGTTTTCATTTCCTCCTCTGATAAATAAACATCCTTAGAAGGAAGAGGTGAGTAAGAAAGGTTAACGTACTCCCTTGAGGGGTCCTTGAGCTTAGGGGTTAAGAAGCTGACCATGAACCATGACGCCCTCCCTTCAGGTCGGCTGAGAGCCTTCCTCTCCCATCTCACCTGTCATCTCTCCATTGTGTGATATGCTGGCATTACACTTCCTGTCAGGAGTCTCGAGCCACTGCTTCAAGGATTAAACTGTGATTTCATGTCAAAAGGAATTGTCACCTACTGTACAAGAGATTTAGTACATCTGTTGTCAGAAGTATAGCCCTTGATCCTTTTACTCACCACCAAACTTAAGTCTGCGAGACTTACATCAAGCATTAATAGCAGATGGCTATACAGAAAGATTTGACGTACAAACAAAGCTCTGCTCCTTGAGGGGAAACAAACCCGGCAGGAAGGAACTAATCCCTGCTTGATAAACAAATACATCATTAGATCTTCTTTCAATCAAAAACACCAAACACTTTGCGCATAAGGAGACATTTGGGCTGGTGGAGGGAGTTCTGGCAGAAAACAGCAGGTCAAATTGCATTCAGACTAAATGATATTTACACAAACAATAATAGGGATAGTAAATAGCCTGGGAAGGGTTGTAAACATGACAAGCAGGAGCTAGTGTAACAACAGCCTTGGAGAAACCCTAACTATACATTACATTACATTGCATTTAGCTGACGCTTTTGTCCAAAGCGACTTACAATAAGTACATTCGACCAGGAAGACACAACCTTGAAGAAAACAGAATCATATAAGTACATCAGGTTTCATAGAGCCAAACATTTCAAGTGCTACTCAACTGGCTTTAGGTAAGCCAGTCCTTTATTAGTATAAAAGTGCTTCGTTAATAGTTCTAACGCTCGAAGTGGAGTCGAAAGAGATGAGTTTTCAGTTTGCGCCGGAAGATGTGCAAGCTATCTGCCGTCCTGATGTCAATGGGGAGCTCATTCCACCATCTTGGAGCCAGGACAGCAAACCCACGTGTTTTTGCCGATGGGAACTTGGGTCCCCCTCGCAGCGAGGGCGCAGCGAGTCGTTTGGCTGATGCAGAGCGTAGTGCACGCGCTGGGGTGTACAGTTTAACCATGTCCTGGATGTAGGAAGGGCCAGATCCATTCGCAGCATGGTAAGCAAGTACCAGTGTCTTGAAGTGGATTCTAGCAGTTACCGGAAGCCAGTGAAGGGAGCGGAGGAGCGGAGTGGTGTGGGAGAATTTAGGAAGGTTGAAGACCAGACGAGCCGCTGCATTCTGGATGAGCTGCAGAGGTCGGATGGCACATGCAGGTAGACCAGCCAGGAGGGAGTTGCAGTAGTCTAGGTGTGAGATGACGAGAGCCTGGACCAGAACCTGAGTCGCTTTCTGTGTCAGCTGGGGATGTATCTTCCTGATGTTGTAAAGTGTGTATCTGCAGCAACGGGTTGTAGCAGCGATGTTTGCAGTGAAGGACAGGTTGTTATCTAGGGTCACACCCAGATTCCTTGCAGTCTGAGTCGGGGAAACAACTGAGGTGCCGATGTTGATTGTTAGGTCAAGAGTGGGACAATCTTTTCCCGGGAGGTAGAGCAGTTCAGTCTTGTCAAGGTTGAGTTTGAGGTGATGAGCAGACATCCACTGAGAGATGTCAGCTAGACAAGCAGAGATGCGTGCGACGACCTGGGTCTCTGAGCGGGGAAAGGACAGAATTAATTGGGTGTCGTCAGCGTAGCAGTGGTAAGAAAAATCATGCGGGCTAATGACTGATCCGAGCGAGTTTGTGTACAGGGAGAAGAGGAGGGGACCAAGAACAGAGCCCTGAGGGACCCCTGTAGTTAATTGACAAGGGTCGGACTCAGACCCTCTCCAAGTAACCCTAGGTGTGGTCTTTCAGGTATGAGGTGATGAGGGAAAGTGCAGAGCCTGAAACTCCAAGTGCTTGGAGAGTGCGAAGGAGGATCTGATGATTCACCGTGTCGAATGCAGCAGACAGGTCCAACAGGATGATGACAGAGGAGAGGGATGCAGTTTTGGCAGTGTGCAGTTCCTCCGTGACAGCAATGAGAGCAGTTTCTGTGGAGTGACCTGCCTTGAAACCAGACTGGTGTGGATCCAGAAGGTTGTTCTGATGGAGATAACAGGAGAGTTGTTTAAAGACAGTGCGTTCAAGTGATTTAGACAGGAACGGGAGGAGAGAGACGGGCCTGTAGTTTATAACATCAGACGGGTTGAGAGTGGGTTTCTTTAGGAGAGGGTTTACTCTTGCCTCCTTGAGACTGTTTGGAAAGTGACCAGAAGTTAGAGAAGTGTTGATGAAATGGGTGAGAAACGGTAGAATATCAGGAGCGATAGTCTGAAGGAGGTTTGAAGGGATAGGGTCCAGAGGACAGGTGGTAGGGCGGGCAGAAGTAATGAGGGTAAGAACCTCACTTTGAGAGAGAGGGGGAAAAGGAGGTCAGTGTGTGGGTGAAAGGAGGGTCTGGTGACCCAGCGGTGAGTATAGGTGAGTCAGAAAAAGAAGAGCGAATATCATCAACCTTTTTTTCAAAGTGGGTAACAAAGTCTCTTGACAGAAGTGAGGAGGGGGGAGGGGCTTTGGGGGGGTCCAAGAGGGAGGAGAAGATGGAAAATAGTTTTTTAGGATTGGAATAGGAAGATTGGATCTTATCTTGAAAGATACGTTTTTATCAAACATTTCACTGTCGCTAATCTCAGTCACTGTCCTTCAATGTCCTACCTGCACTTAAACAGCAACTTTCTTAAATAATAAGCAAAATAATCATAATCTAAACACAAAGAACCTTACGTAAGGGTTCAGATATAAATAATCTGTGGCCAGGCCATGAAAGGCTTTAAAGGTTATAAGTAACGTCTTAAAATCAATCTTAAAACAAAGGGGCAGTCAGTGTAAGGTCAGTAGTAGTAGTAGAGTTATACCTTCTCGTCGTTTCATTATTGTTAGGAGTCTCACTGCTGTATTTCGCACAATTTGGAGTTTATGAATTGATTTCTTGATTCATACCTGTTAACGATCATTTCAATAGTCCTCCAACAGGAAATAAAACCATGAATGATAGATTGAGTGTCATTTAAACTCAGGATGGATTTGATCCTGGCTGTATTTCGCAAATGATTGTTGCGTGACTCTATGATGTTGTTCTTGTGTTTCTCAAAAGTCAGGTTAGTGTCAAAGAGCAAAACCAGGTTCCTGACCATTTGTTAAACATCGCCTGATAAGGGATTGAGAGACGATGAATACTAGGATGCTGATTTTCGTGACCAAAATGTGTGTCTCTCTCTAGAAATGAACTGCACCACCACAGTGAGAAGTATCAGGTTACTATGGCTGCAGTGCTGCATGAATATGATTCAGCTTTGTTATTCAGCTGATATCCACACCACTGTATGAGCCATCACGACGCATGAACAGCTGCTGCCCGACTTCAGCTCTACCTGATCCAAATATATGCTTCATATCTAGTGAGGAGGAATGAGGTCTGTTCAATGGTTTTAAGTAATCTGACCTCTTTCCATGCACAGCAGGCGTAGCTGGCATCATATTGGATCGAACAATGGCCCCTTGAGTGATATCGATATTCACTTTACCAAGCAAGGGAACATAATAAATGGCTATCTACAGAGCTAAGTGAAAGAAAAAACACTTTTAGTTCAACAAATCTATCTTATTTGGGGGTTTCTACTCTTGAGACACATTACACAAACCTTCAGTTTTTCTCGGCTCAATACGAGCCCTAAAAATCTAAATGATTGAACTGTTTTCTTTCTATTCCTCAATAGATTTTACACTGAATTAAACAGCATTTAGACACACAAAAAGTTCCCCTGTGCCGTATAAGTCCTCGAAATAATGTTTTTATAGTCGAGCTACAATGTACAGCACACTGAGGGCACAGTCTGATACAATGCTTTGATTGACATTAAGGATTATTCGATTTCTAGCGCTCACAAATACTGATTAAACCGTTGCATACTATACAAGAATAACACGTGTGAGGTCATAAATCACCTGATATTCCCTAATTATTTGTGTCTGATGATGAGAAAACCCTGTGACAGTGTGACAGCCCATCAGAGGCAGGGTGCCTGTTGTGACAAATGCAATTACATTCGTGAAATCATTACTTTGTGGAAGAAGGTGTTTGATCGCTCCCTGCTGAAGGCCTGTTTTGATTTTAGTGAATGTTTCTTGGAATTGAATACAATCTTGTTTTGATTCAAGGAGAAGTTGTCGTAGCACCTTTCAAACTTGTTTATCTAGCCATCGGCAAAAGCAACACTAGTCG